GAAAAAAAAAAAAAAAAAAAAAAAAAAAAAAAAAAAGGAGACCCTCAGAACTCAGGGAGAGTTGGTGGGGTCAGGGGTCAGAGAAGGTTCCAGAGGAGGGTGAATGGTCTGAAATCTGTAGTGGACACCTGTTGCTTTTCCCATCTAGCAGTCTTGGCCCTTCTTAAGTTAACAGCCCCCAGTTTTCCTTTGAGGGACCACTCCCCATCTCAGTCATAGACTGAGTAGGTCTGAGCCCACCCTCTAGTTCAGCAGTGACCATGTGCCCAGACCTGGCCAATCACAGCATCACCTCCCTCCGGCCAGAGCTGATTGGTCAGAGAGGAGCAAATGACCAAAACCAGGCCAATGAGAGATTGCTCTGAGACTTTAAGCAAAAGTATTAGGAATGGCTGGCCGGTTAGTTCAGCTGGTTAGAGTGCAGCCTTATAACACCAAGGTCATGGGTTCGGATCTCTGTGCTGACCAGCTGCCAAAAAAATAAATAAATAAAACTGGGTGACATAAGTAAAAAGAATCTCTCTCTGGGAGTTGGGGAGAGATGCCAAGCACATAAAATAAAAGCCTAGAGCTACATATAGCCACGGGAGGGCCCTGCCAAGAATTACTTTAACATGGAGGAAGCATAGCTGAGAGACAGAAAGAAACAGATCTCCCCCCCCTACCCCCCCCCAAGAAAGAAAGAAACAAATCCCTAATGACATCACTGAGGTCCTAAATGCAGACACACCTCTGGACTTTTTTACTTAATGGAACGAACACATTCTTCTTTTTTTCCTTAAGCCCATTTGAGTTGAGATTCTATCACTTGCATCCGTAAAAGCCCTGATTGAATTAATATCCCTCTCCATTTTGATGCTTGTGGTGGTCACTGTAGGTTGGCTAAAACCTAACAGCTATTCTCAATCCCTTCTTCCATGCCTGTACTTCTAGAGGCTAAAAAACCTAAATATTTGCTTTCCCAGACTCCCTTGAAACTAGGGTTGGCCGTGGGATCAAGTTCTGGCCAATAAGACATAAGCAGAAGTCTCCCAAGGGGATTCTGGGGAATACATTCTTTTCTCTATAAAAGAAAGAGATATTACTACTCATACAGCTTCTTCCCTAGGGCTGCCTGGTACAGTTGTACACGCTGTGCACTCTACAACACTAGGAGGTCCTGTTTTCATAGGCTACCTAGTACGCTGAGCCTCAGAAACGGCCAGCATACAACTGCACACATGGTTGTGTGCAGGTACAGGGTGACACTGCCCATTCCATTCCTTGAACACAAACATGACGTCTGGACCCGTAGCAGTCACCTTCTGACTATGAGAATCACAGGACTGCAGAACTAGTGCCCTGCTACTGCCAAGCAGCTGAATCAATGTGAGCACTTAATGAGACAAATAAAAATAAGTAACTCCCTGTTTGTTCATGCCATTGTAAGTGTGGCCTGCAGCCAAGGCCAGTCCTAATGGACACAGCACTCTTGACTCACTCTTGTCATAGACAGGCTCAGAGAGCACTGGGTCCATCCGGCGCATCTGTCCCTGCTGGTCTCGATACGACGCCTGGAAGCAGATCCTCACGACATTCATGTCCACTTCTTGATGGTTCTTCAGGGACCCGGCTGTAGGGGAGATATGGGAAAGCTGGGGGTGGGTGTGGAGACCCTGGTGGGAAGAGGGAAGTGATGGGGCTGGAGGAGATGGTGGGGCCTGGAAAAGGTGAGTGGACAAGGGTAGACAGAGAGGGTGAGGGGTTTGGGAGGACGGAATGATCAGGCCAGGCGTGGGGCTCACCATTGTAGGGGTCAATGCCCAGTTGAATCTTCCGCTCAATGGCAGCCTCAATCTCCTTCTTCCTCACACACTGGATGCCCAGGTTGTTAAAGCTGAGGGGATTAGGGGGGAAGAGGAGAACTCACGAGGGGGCAGGTATAGCCCTAACCTGCAGGAGGGCTCCAGCAGATGCTGCCACAGCGGGCTAAGACACACCCCAGGTCCAGAGGTTCCAGCATTAGAAAGGGTCTGGGGTTCAAATCTCCCAAGCATATCAAGGATTCTTGAGAAGACCTGGGAACATGCCTTATCTTTACCACATGAAAACACTGGCCAACCTCATTTATAACAAATAAACTTCAAATTAAACACCCATGAGATGCCTTTTTTTCTTCACTCATCAAAACAGCAAAGGTCAGGGGCTGGCCCGTGGCTCACTTGGGAGAGTGTGGTGCTGATAACACCAAGGCCACGGGTTCGGATCCCTATATAGGGATGGCCAGATAGCTCACTTGGGAAAGCGTGGTGCTGACAACACCAAGTCAAGGGTTAAGATACCCTTACCGGTCATCTTTTAAAAAAAATAAATAAAACAGCAAAGATCAATATGTTTCAAAATACCCTGTGCTGGTGAGGTTGTAGAGAATTAGGCACTCTCACCCATTGTTGGTGGGACTATAAAGTATACAACATGGCAGTATTCATTCATTCCACAAATATTTCCTGAGCACCTACTATGTGCCAGGCAATGTGCTAGGCACTGGGGATGCAGCAGGGAATAAAAGAGACAAAATCCCTACTCTCATGGAGTTGACATTTTCACTAAGTTGGGGCCGGCCCGACATTTTCACTAAGTTTACAAATCACTAAAATTATAAATGAATAGACTTAGACCTAGCAATTTCATTCCTAGGAATTAATCCTAGAGAAGAAATGCCACACATATAAAGCAATTAATTGCAGCACCGTTAGTCATGGAACAACAGATTGAAACCATCGTAGGTGCCCGTTAATAGAATACTTATTCAACTAATGGTGTATATCCATGCACTGGAATACTGTGCAGCCAATAAAAAGGATAGAGCAGCTCTAAATGTTCTTATAGGGAATGATCTCCTAGTTGTACTGTAACATAAAAACAAGGTACAAAGGTCTGCTACCATTTATAAGGGGAGGAAATACACACACACACACATTTGCTTGCATATTTGAGGGTACTTCAAAAAATCCATGAAAAAATAGAATTAAAAGATAATATAAATCTTTCCATGGACTTTTTTTTTTTTGTCTTTTGTCTTTTTCCGTGTCCGGCAACGGATTGCAGCAACGGATCGCAAACCTCGGTGTTGCTCCCGCGCCTCGCTCAGCCAGTGAGCTGGAACCGGTCTGTATGTGGGATCCGAACCCTCGGGCAGGAGCGCCGCTGCGCTTCCCAAGCAGCGCACTATCCAGTGCGCCACAGGGCCGGCCCTCCATGGACTTTTTGAAAACCTCTCATACATAGTGTATCTTTAGTTGTTTCCAGGAATGGGCACTGGTAGCTAGAGGGCCAAAGCTGGAAGG